GGGGGGTGTGTCTGACAGTCACACGATGGGGGGGTGTCTGACAGTCACGGTCAAAGTGAGGAGGAGGTGTCTGATAGAGTACGGTCACTGTGGGGGGGGGTCTGACAGTCACAGTCACAGTCACAATGAGGGGTAGGGTCTGAAAGGGCCACGGTCATCGGGGCGGGGGGCATCTGACAGACTTATGGTTACGGTGAGGGGAGATCTGACAGGATCACAGGCACAAAGAGAGGGGACGCCTGATAGAGCCATGGTTGTGGTGAGGGAGGACGTCTGACAGAGTCACAGTCACGGGGGGCGGGGGGCGTCTGACAGAATCATGGTCACTGGGGGAGCATCTGACAGAGTCACGGTCATAATGAGGGGGGACGTCTGACAGAACCATGGCCGTGGGGGCTGTCTGACAGAACTGAGGGCAGGAGACCTGTTAATGTCCCTTGGGGTCCCTAGCCTGTGATGAGGGCGAGTCTGTGAGTCGTGCACTGTCTGAAGGGGCAGGGGCAGCTGGTGACCCTCAACTCTTCTGGAGCAGGCCCACCCTCTGAGACACGGCTCGGTGCCGGTCAAGGTTGAGTAGGACGGAGCAGAGCCCAGAACCCCAAGGGGAGCTACTATATCTTTGATTGGTGAAGTCAGAGAAGCTGCCCTGACCTGGCATCCTCCTAAAAGTTCAGGACAGCCAGTCCTTTTTAGGTACCACTGATGGCTTCTGGAGAGCCTGCCCTCGTCACGGTACCGCTAATGGCCCCCGGGTGGCCAGCCCTCATCACGGCACTGCTGAGAGCCCCCAGATGGCCCACCCTCGTCACGGCGCCGCTGACGGCCACGGACGGCCCACCCTCATCAGGGCACTGTTGCTGTCACGTGACTGGCACCAGCCCATGTGTGTGGATGCCTGCACTTCACCAGTGATGCCCAGCCAACCGAGAACTTACCGGCAATCTGCACGTTCAATGTTGCGACACTGTCTGCGCTTTTTGCTTCGTTTTTCATACTGAACAGAAGAGATTTCAAGCTGCTGTTCTCCTCCAGAGACTTGTCTAAGTGTTGCTTCAAGTCATCCTGATGACACAGAAAACCACACTTATAACAGACGAGGGAATGTCCAAGGCATGTGGAGGACGAAGCTTCCGACGGTTGCCACAGGTATGCTTCCTCTCTGCACTCTAACTTCTGAGTCAGCACCGTGAAAGGCAGGGAGTGTGTGTCACACTGATCTCCCCTCCGGCGTGGTGCCCTGAGCTGTCAGTGTCCTTCAGGGGAGGGTGTGCAGTGACCAGGAGGGAGACCGCACCGCGCCCTACTTGGCAAGGGGGTGGTGTGTACCACATCCCCATGGCCCCCGGACAGACAGGGCCCAGTGTGTGGCAGCTGTTTCCGATGAGGCCAGTGTGAAGGACATCACTGAAGGTGGCTGCGTGGGCTCCTCTCCTTTGACCTGGATAGGTGTCTCACCCCTGTCCCACGGGCAGGCCTTTGGCCACACTCTGCTGGCACGGTCTGGAAGCATCCAGCAGCCCAAGCCACGCTGCTAAGGGTGCTCTTGTCCCAGGGAGGAGCAGTGGTTCGTGGGATGGTCAGGACTGTGGCTCAGGCTCTGTCTGTGCCTTGGGGATGAGGAGGAGACCCCGTGCACACAGGTCGCTGCGCGTACCGGTGGTGGTTAACGTGTGGGGCTCATGTCCCTGCGAGAGCAGCGACTTTCCCGAGCCCCTGCCACATGCATCACGCATGTCCTGGCAGCTCCTGAGCTGTCAGAGCCGACTGTGGCCAGAGCTGGGGTCCTCAAGACCCCAGACCTGTCGCACTGCCTGCTGCTCCCAGGGGCACCAACGGCACCCCGTGTACCTGCATCCGGGGCCTTGACGTGACAGTGTCTCCCTGTCCAGGAACTGCGTGCTGACGTGCCTCCCCACCACGACAGGGTGAGCCCCATGCCCCAGCAACTGCTCCTCCCTAGCTTCGCGGGGCCCCTGCTGCTGACATCGCATCTCTCTGGCTCCCGGCCTCCTCCTCAGGACCCTCCCTGACGGAGCCAACAGTCTTGCTCGCTACCACCTTCCTCATTGGGCTGTCCAACAGCACCCTACCTTGGCTCATTCTGACTGCTCTGTCTCTGGGGGTGCAGGGATGTAAGGGCAGGGGCTTGGGCTCCCGTCTTCCATGGGTGTCTAGGCTGGAGGGTCAGACATGCCTGCAGCAGGGGTCGGAGTGGGGGGCCACCTCCTCTGTGTCTTGGGACTCAAGGATTGTGGAAACCATGACGACCAGCTTCCACGTGAGCACAGCTCTGGTCTGTGAGAGCTGCGGCTCTGCCTTCACGCCCGAGGCCACCCTGCCTGCGATGACACTCGCGAAGGACAGAAGCTGGGGCTTTCAGGAGGGACGCCCAGCCACCTGCACTTGCAGTGAGGTATGTTAGCTGGAAGAGGGTCCCAGCCTGTCCTGCTGAGACCTCGGACGAGACCGCCACTGGCTGACAGCTGATGGCGACGTGGAGACCCCGAGCTCTCTCCCCCAGCTAAGCCACACTGGGTTCCTGGCCCGAGGCACTGAGACAATGACTGTTTCCTGTCTTAGGTCTATCTTAGGCCATGACGTTTTGGGTCATCTATTATGCAGCCGTAAATAGCCAACCCAGGGCAAACAGCCCACCGCGTCCCCACGTGAGTGACTCGCCCATCGGCACTGGCCTTTCAGAATGAGCACACCCCAGGAACTCCAGACGCTAAGTACACCCACACGGGCCAGGGCGAACCCCAGCACACTGACCGCACAAGGAGGTCAGGCAGCCAGCAGGAGCCCCCTCAATGCCCTCTGGTGCCACCTGGTGGTAGAAGTTCCCTCAGGTTAAACCACAAAACGTCAGGTGCCCTTGAATCGATTCTGACTCACAGTGACCCTACAGGACAGAG